TTTGAGTGGCAGCCCGGGGAGATACCACCTGCACCGGTTCCTGTTCAAAGACAACATACTTGGAACATGACACTGACATGACTGGATGATTTTTAATTAAAAAAACAAAGCATTACAAATTTAACTTCTTATTTTGTTTGCCATCGTGTTTCTGGAGCCACAGAGGACAAGTTGAAATCGTTTTCCTGCCACAGTTAGCCTTGTTGCATCGTCCAGATTGACATTTTCCTCGTTTAAAAAAGGATCTATATCCTCACAATCTGAGGTGTATGTTACTTTGTGGTTTATTCAGTGGAAACGCTCCTAATTTAAAACTTCTAAAGTATAAACATCATCCTTTCACTTCAACGGAGTCACACTCACAAATATCCAGATCTCTCCTCAAAGAAAAAAAAACATTCTTGTTGTTTGTTCAAACCCCAACACTTGATGTTTTTTTTTATAAGTAAAACACCACATGACACTGTGCACCATCATGTTTCTGATAGAGTGCATCGTTGTTCTGAAGCATCAGTCACACTCAACCAAAGAGTCCGGATGTAAAACGTAAAGCTACAGTGGCTCTTTAACAGGGAACTGCTACTGTGTAGAAAAGAGATAAATGAATAAAAGTGCTACGCTGCCCTTCAGGCAAGGAGTTTTTAAAGGCTTGAAGCTTAAGTGGGGGGAGGAGGAGGAGGGGGGAATCACTTTGGAGTACAAAAACACAAGTGATGATCAAGTCCTGTTTCCTGTTTGTTCAGAGTAAAAAATGCAAAAGTGATGCACGTCAGGCAAACAGACACGTGGAGGTACTGAGCTGCGCCGTCTCATAAATAAAGGTTTTAACTGTCTTTGTTTACATTATTTCAAATAAAATGTTTCATTTGTATGTTACCACATAGTGAATACCCATGATGTTAGTGCATTTCAAAGCACACAGGAAGAGAGCGGACATCACGTGTGTGTGTGTGTTATAACCACCCACTGTCCGCAGACAGACACAATCATAAGAGCTGCAGACATAAAGGAGGGAAGAGTTCAGTTTGAAACAAAAGAAGCGAGGATCCAGCCTCGGTCCGCTCTCGTTTATTTCTTTTCTTCCATTCCCTTCCTCATGCTCTTATTTCTTCTCCCCTTCCTGCTGTATTTACAATGCCCTTTCAAAATAAGAGGAATATAAAACTTCCACTATGTATCTATCAGACAGCTTTCAGCTGAGTTAGTTTACTGGAAACGATGTGCATCAACATTCCTAGGACAACAGTAATGTACTGTACTAATACACATTAAATACATATAATGATTAAAACCGGATATGGTGGGGGCGGCACTGGATCCACACATCACCCAGTTTCTCTGTCCCTTGAGTCTGGCATCCCTCGACATTTTAAAACACGACTTATCAAGGTTTTTTATTTTCCCTATTTCTTAAGAAGTCTAAGCTCCCACATACTCGGGCGTACTGTGTGTACTCCGTGAGCCGTGTGGACACGTGCACCGTCCGCAGACGGTTCAGACTTCATATTCGAACGTACACCCTGATGGGCTGCAGCCCAGCTCTGCAGGCAAGGAACGTTTACCTTCGGGAAAAATTGAGGTCGCCGATTGGTCATTCGCTGACACGCCTACTGGATTGATTGACAGGTCGCAAAAAACAAACAAACAAAAAAAAAAACATACAAAACAGTCCGTCGCCAGGAAGTTTATTGTGCGACACGGAGTACTCGTAGGCGGTCGTACAAATTGTTTTTTGCGTGGACATTGGTTTGAGGGCATCCACGTTGAGTCTAATCGGGTGTGCGTGGACCTCTGCGGAGTGACATACGCCCGAGTCTGTGGGAACCTCGAGTCTAATGGAGCCTCAACGCTCAGAAAAGGTAAGAGAAGGTATCAGACGTGAAGTTACCAACAAATAATGATGTGAACTGGAAAACTAACTGATCTTTGTTTTGCGTGCAGGTGCCTCCTGTTTTATATACAGTTATTGTCCTTTGTCTTCCCAACAGGAACTGTTACTCCTGCTTTTAGAGCTAACAGCTGGTTTAACCCAAAC